GCAAGAAGGTTTTTATCAGCTATATCATTTTTAAAACTATGAAAAATTTCAATTTTTCCAAGCAAAAATTAAATATTTTCAGATTAAAATTCACTTATATTAAACCACCAATTTTTGATGGCCTTTTTTAATGGGCTTTTTGAATTTTTTTTGTTAAAGCTACAGTGTGTAATAATTACAGGGATATACAGTCAGAAATGTAATATATTATACATAACTATGTTATTTATCATCATCTACGAGCTCAGCCTCTTAACCTTAATATTTGCGTTGCCTTAGAATTCGTTATTTATAATTACATAGGAGCGGGTCTCGCAGCCATGGAGGCAGACATCTTTGTGCTACGGCAGCGCAGAGCCAACAAACTAGCGATTGCGAGATCGCCCATTACGCTCGAAAGTAACTACGGCAAGTTGAGAGAGATGAACTGAGACGGTACTGAACACACAGACTAATGAAATACTATCTGTAAAATTATCTATGTAAACAAACCTCATCACTTGAGAAGGTAGGTGATGCGGACGTCATGGAAGAAATTTTGTCACGTAACGCTCGCTGTACTGTTGGGGGGGAGAAGCGGTTGGGGGGAGATGTTCATGTTGCTGCGGTCTTCAGTCTGGACGTTAGATGTCGCTGAAAATTACACTGTAGCTTTAATAATGACAATAATATAACACCCTATCACACCCTATCATCCAGTAGTGGTCTTTAAGTATTGTTTTGTTTGCTTTACTGATGAGCTCATCACTTCTATTTATAGTTTTCCTTGTTAGTTTTACAAATTTACTTGAGGATTTTGGGGTTTTGAGTCTTGACTTATTTTAATATTTTTGCAATTTGGGATTTACCATGCAGTGCACTTATCTATGTTCATGTTTTTCAGCTTTTCATATCAATGAAGTTCTTAATTTTTGAATTTTTATAGTTACTTATCAGCCCCCATTTTCTGAGATAGTCTGTTTCAGCTCTTATAATTCCATTTTTAAACAGTTGGATTTTTGTTGTTGTTCTGTTGCAGTTTTCTTTCTTTTGTTTGCCAGTTTAATCTACTCCACCTGTTCATGCCTGTCACACTAATCATGTTATTAAGTTAACTTGCTTATGTTAATTAGTTAAGAGCTGTGCAATCCCGTTTATACTTGTCAGTTTACCCTTTACTGGTTAATAATGGGTTCCATGCCATGATTTGAATGCTTTGCCACACCAGGTCTTTATATGTCAATGTTTGCCACATTGCTCCATGCCCGTTTGGACAACTTTTTTAAGCCTTCAAGATGGCTGTGTGGATAACTGCTGTGGCTTCCGAACTGCTGTTCTTCTTCATGATTTTGTTTGTGTTTTCACTCCTCTGGACATAATCCAGTACAGTGATGATGAACTGCTGGAATTGTCGAAAAACACAAACAAAATCCCAACCTAAACTGCAACTTTTCAAAGTGAATCCTAACATCTCCCATCCGAGGAGGAAGAAACAGAGAAGGCAATGCAAACAGAAGAGAGTTAAGCATGGCGGGCAGCGGACCGGGCAAAAGGCTAAGGGTTGGGCATACACTGTCTGATTTTTTGCCCTTTTTCAGGCTGATTCTCCAGTCGTGCAGGAATTTCTTGGATCGGGCAGTTTCAGCCTCATTGTGGGTCCTGCGTCCTGCAGTATATAGGTGGTAACTAAGGGAGATTAGCCTCTCACAACCATGTTCCTATCAGGAATCAGTTAAGTCGAGAGAAAATCAAACCTGTTGAAATTCAGTCGGCCCTCGTGAGGTATTTGAGAGCAAATCTTGCTGTCAAAGCAGACATACAAGCGTCTACTAGTCATTTTACGTAAACACTGTGCACTGCGCATGTGCAAACAAGGGAATTTTTCTTCTCCTTTTGGCTTCCAGACTGACAAGTCTGACTAGCATCATCTCTAGGCGTTGAGTCGGACGTTCGATTTTTGGATGTATGGTGTGTGCAGTTAGATCATATCAGAGCATAAGGTCATATAGTGTAAGGAAATACATTGTGAGCTGTGAACTTTTAAACCCTGTGGTTTTGTCGTACAGTTTGAGCTGTAGCTGAGTACATAGATTGAATCATTGTACAGTGTATGCCCGCCCTAACCCATAAAGACCAGCTCTTCCCAGTCTCTTCCTATTGTTAGATCCCTAACCAACAAAGTGGATAAAATCAGACTAAGGATCATTTCATGTAAGATTTACATCTGTATGGCAATCTTCATGTAGACCTGATTGGACAGTAGAATTTCAGAAGCCATGGTAGCAGTTGTGGGCTGCGCTTTGTTTTGGACTAACAACTATAGCTCCAGGGAAGACCAAAGGCAGATGTTCAGCACTACACTTTCACAACTTAAAGCAACATCTGGCAGTGAGGAGCAGAGCATTGAAACTGTTTAGAGAAATAAGCTCTGTTATCATCACTGCAGTCTGCGTACCACATACCACCATACATTCCATCCCCATGTGGAATTAAAGGCTGTGCTCCCCACGTTACACTAATTGATATTTTTTTCCTGCTATAGACTATAATATAAAAGATTGTCTACTGCAACATTATATCAAGCATATAAGACTGCAGCATCTCCTACACTGGAATATCAGATCGTGTCTATATGGACCTGACTCCAGTCTACAATGTCTGATCTGTAGAACCAAAGCTTTCATCGAACCATTCAGGTTCGCACTGAAGGGACCTGCTAAGCCTAACGGGAGAGAACTAAAAAGAGCATATACAGCAGGCAATGTCCAGGTATAAGCAGTGCATCAAGGAGCCCTTCCAACAATGACAACTCCTACAGAAAGCAGATAGGCATGAGGTTCATCATAGATTTGAGGCGGAGTGACCAGCCACTCAGCCATACTCAGGCTCTTTTTGACACCTTAAACAGTTTATTTGCTTGTCTTGACACTCCTAGCAGTGGAAGGACTCCTAGCAGTAGAAGTAACTAGAAGGGAGTTAGGTGAAAGGAGACTGGTACAAGGGGGCAACAGAGAGTAACTCAAAAAAGCAACTTTGCTTTAATCTTACACAAAATGGAAAAGAAACCATTGACCAACAAAACAGAATGACATACATAAATAACTAAATATATATATATATATATATATATATATATATATATATATATATATATATATATATATATATATATATATATATATATATATATATATATATATATATATATATATATATATATATATATATATATATATATATATATATATATATATATATATATATATATATATATATATATTGTTAAGAGTTGTAACAATACACATTGAATTTATTAGCATTCTTTTTAAAATGTAATGGATTATAAAATTCCACATCAAGTAGAAATTAAGGTAAAAAATGCCGGAAAGGAGGCCATTTAGGAATAAGGCTTATGAATAGGACCTAATACTTCCTATGCAAACTAGAACATATTGATTCTTATACTATTAAAGAGAGACAACAAGCAACATGCATCTTACAGGTCAGTCTTCACTCATTCTTGTCTGGATGAATACTGAAGCTTTCTCTGGTGTCTCAAACATATCCTTGTTGTTATTAATCTTGATCTGAAGTGTAGCAAAGAAATAAGAAGAAAAATCAACCCTCTCTTTCAAAGATACATTTTTACCCCTTGGAAGGCCTTCCTCTTGTTACTGACATGGTGAGAATAGTCTGGAAGAATCATAGAACTTGCTTCTTACCATGTGTACCATAAAGAATAGATTATGAACAGTTTAGTTTGTGCCCTCAAGTCGTTTGCCCATAGGAAGAGGTTACTTGGATATAACCTAACGGAATATCTTCAGAACAGCTCCAAATGACACAAAACTCATTTGAGTGAGTAGAACATATGTAATGACGTAAAATCAAGGGCCTATTGTAAAAAAAAAAACAGCGTTTCCCTTTAAGAGTCTTGCTCAGGGACCCAGAGTGGCAGTCCATGGGAGTGGGGCTTGAACTCTAAACCTCTGGGATCCACCCGCAGCACCCTAAACACTAGGCCAAAACCCCCCCCTTTGCCATCTTCTTCTGCAGCCATGCTTCTCCAAATCCTTGTACTGAAATATTTGTATGTTCCCCTATAGTTGCAGTCTGAGTACTGGATGTATCACAGGCACTCCCCAGGGCTCCAATTTAGGCCTCAGTCTACTCAATGTAGTAGCTCATACAGTCCAGTCTCTTCCATTACCTCCACTTTGGCCAGTCGTCATTTTGCGTTGATGAGCTTATTGCTCAAATACCTTGTATCAATAGATTACTTTAAGCAATATGAACAAGTTTAATTTCTTTAATTGTCACAACCAATGCTGTTGAATATGTCCATCCCTTTATGACAATAATTACCATGATGCATCATGACATAAAGCTGAAATCAACTAAAAGTTTAGTGTCTACCAAGGGCCCCACTGTTCTCAGTAGAACAGACAACCTTAAGATTTTCTTCTTGGTTATACAATCTACAAATCTGCAGCAACTGCATGATGCTAGCATGTCGGTAGTGATAAAAACAAATAGTTTGTTTCCAGCATCTTGTTCATTCTTGACTGAATGGAATTAAGGTAACCTGCACCTAGCAAAGTGTCCCTAATAATGGGGCCAATCTTTTTTCCCAGTGTTAATTTTTTCTTTGTTACAAGGTTACGAAGTGACAAAGTAAAGTAAATAAAGGCCACTCAACATTTAACTGCCAAAACATTACAGTGATCTTTTGGTGTAGAGCCAGAATACTTACAAGCCAACCAGTCTGTAACTAATCAGAACCAACTGGTGGGTGTCTTGTACTGCGAGTAGAGCTGAGCTGCATAAAGAAAAAAAGTCTAATCGAACTGTAAAAGAGAAGATAAATTACTTTTTTAAACAGTGAGTAGGGAGTATACATTAGAGGAGAGATAGTGTTTAAAAATGTTGAGGATTTTTCAGGCCAAGGAAGAGGCTTCTGTGATGTGATTCATACCGCATGTCAAAAAGCAGCAGGGAGGAGACCTTATGAGAAGACAGGAAGAACAGAGTGGAGAAGGGGTGGAGTGGGGAAAGAAAAGCCGGCCCCTCTTACACCACCTCGACTCCTTGGCACTGAGTGTCAGCAAAAAACCTCTAATGTGATCAAGATGCAAGTTTTCCATGGACGCCTCGCTGCTCCCTGGCTTTCCATTTGCCTTTGGCTGCTTCAGCACTTGTCCAGCAATCCAAGGACGAGGGTGGTGACTGGACTCTCCAAGATCGCTCTTACTTTTTCCAACTAAGGACTGGATTTAGAGTGCGCTTTCATATATCATGTCCCTTGGAGAGAGTTGGATTAATATTTCCTGAAAAGTGGAGGAATTTCATCTTGCAAATGAATGAAAAGGAAGCCAATGGATCTCTCTGGATAACTGTTAAAACTTGTTTTTTGGAATATACATGCATCTGCCAGAAAGGAAAAACAATCCAGATACTAGATTTTGTTGTAGGATGCTGTGTCATGTTTGGAGAATCTACAAGAAGTCAATCTGAGTATCTAACTTCATAGGGGATTGACGATTGAATGTCAGTGGTTGGTTTAATGGGAATCAAGAGTGTGTAAATGATTTATATAAAAGATTTCTGTTTATACTCTAAACAAAAATTACATTAAGCTTTATGCCAAATGTGGTAAAAAGCTGATAATTCCCAGGTTATTTGTTGAAATAGTAACTTTAAAAAAATGTATGACTTTTTTCTGATTCTGAAAAAAATATCATTCAGTTATAATTCTGATTCATTTTCTTAACATTTTTACCTTTTGGAAGTCAGTTTAACAGTCACATTTACATACTTTACCTAGTGTAAGCTACAGCTAAAGTAATATATTCTGAAGTATATTTTTAACAAAAGCAATAAGCTTACATAAAATCATGTATTCTGTTAGCATTGTGAGTGTTACTGGGTGATGAAATTCAGCTGATTGTCAGATGTTGTATTTTCCTTCATCTATGTAATATCCTTTTGTCAGTAGGGGATATGACAGCTCTGGTGTCAACATCCTAAAAGCAGAGAAACACTTTAGAATCTTTGCTTTGTCAGCTTTATCTGCTATAAAAATTTCAAAGCAAAAACATCAGTTTTGTCTCAGTGTAGCTGACTGTAGCGGGCAAGCTGCAGAGTGAAAATGGTAATGACATTGTTTTAAAAACATTTTGGTTTCCACCGTATGATCATCATAAAGAGGCTCCTTGACGTATTATATTGGTCCAGTTTATTTCCCCTGTTACTTTGAATGCAGAGCAGTTGCAATCCTCGAACTTTCACCCACTGCTTCCTGTTAACTTGAGAAGCAGGACTTGATTTACCGTACTGTCATCTGGACATTCAGTTTCTGTAAACCTATAACTAGTGAGCACTTGATGTTTGTTACTCCCATTTCTCCTCTCAATTACAGCGGATCTGTTTATCTAATTTTGCCAGCAGCCCTATGGGATAATACTTTGCCTTTCATCATGGCTGTTGCTATTCGGAAAAGAAGTTGGGAGGAACATGTGACTCACCCGTCGGGTTTACAATATAGCTATGATGATCTGGATCTGGTTTGCTGTCATGGAGTTGACAGCGAGGGTCTTTGGTTGGACTCTGAGGCTTTAAAACAGGGCCGGCGGACGAGATGTGTCTCTATGCCAGAGGGCTGCCAGCTGCCTTCAGATGACTCAGGTCAGACGCCTTTGGATGAGTCCTTTGCTGTTAAAGATGTCAATGAATCAGCTAAAAACAATGAAGATTCTCTGTTAAAATTTCAGGAGTCAGTTCTCGAGTTGGTTGCTCCTGAACTTCCAAAGAGGAATTTCAAATCAGCACAAATCTCTGCCCCCAATACTGGGATTTCTTCAGTCTTCTATTGTTACTCAAACAGTACAATTTCTAGTGTTAATACTTATTTTGCAACTGATAATCAGACTATGAAAACTTTCTACAATAAAGGGGTAATTGGCACAGAATGTAGACAGGATTGCATCTTCAGTGGTGATGTCTTAAACAGCCTTAAAGAGAAACAATACATTTCTATCCCTTCAAACAAGGGGCCTCCATGTTCTGAATCTGCTGATGAGCAGCCTGGCAAACTTCCAACTCATCAGCAGACAAAGGAGAGCCACACTGAGAGTTACAGCAGATCTCCTGAAATCTCTGAGGTCACACTGAACCGTGGCACTGCCACCGAACAGGAACCTCAAAGCGACTGTGCAGATGTTGAAGGAACTATTTCCACCTCCGACCAAGCTTGTGGAAGGGAACTGTACTTTACGCACCAAAATCCCATGGAGGGTGGTAATGAACTGTCACTGCCTAACAAGTCTTTGGAACAATTTTTGACTTTTACAATAGAGGAAAAATGTGACAATGGATTTACCCAAAGCCAGAGCACAGATTTTATTCACAAGTCGGGTGGACAAAATGAACTGGAAACTAAAAGTGATAATGAAGGCCTCAATAATTTAAGAACTGTTCAAGGCGAGCCAGACTATTCTAACTGTGCTGATGACTTAGATCAGGCTGATGACTGTGAAATCTATAAGGACATGGTGAACCTTCCCACATCAGCCCAACAGGAACTTCAGACCCACTGCCCAGAAGTTGAACGGATTATCTCCACCTCTGACCAAGCTGCTGTAGAAGGCCCTATTTTTGTGCTTCAAAATTCAGCTGATACAACAGAAGAAAATACATCAGTAAAGCAACCGATTGTGACACTTTCATTAGATCCACAGTATGACAAAACATCTAGTCAAAGCTGGAGCACCGTTCCTTCTCGCAGACTGGATGGACTGAATGACTCAGAAATTTTAAATGAAAATCCAGGACACCCTCATCACTCAAGAAATATTCAAGTGGACCAGGGTTCTTATAACTGTGCTGTGGCTTTAGATCACTGTAATGATTGTGAAACACTTAACCAGACACTGGTTGAGCCACATAATGTTGCAGCAACAGACGAGAGCTGTCCTCATGTGGAGGAAAGTGCAGAAAAAGAAGAGCCTCCTGACACATATCAGAATAAAGTCATAAATCAGTATTTGACGTTGATCAAAACTGCTGAACAGCAGAGTACTGGAAATATAGAAAGAGAGTCAGTACTAAAAAGTTCTATTTGGTGTGCAGATCATCAGAATGTGAAAACCTCCTTAAGTAGGTCAGTGGATGTCATAGTTCAGAACCCATTACCGAAAGAGTGGACTGTTTGCAAGGATGAAGACGTACCTCTCAATGTTGAAAATAACTCTTCAAAGCATGTCGCCATTCCAGAGATCCGCCTGGTTAAAGCAGATGACAACTCTTTGGTAAAAGCTACAGAGCAAGCTGTGGTTGATATTATTGAAAATCCAGTTTATAACATCCATCTGGATAATGAATACAAGACTACTGAGCAACAGATGAACCCTCCCTTCCTCTCTAAAGAGGTCAGTGAGTTGCTCCATGGCAACCAAACCTCTTGCCTGAGTGAATCACCTTGCTCTGAAGTGGCAGATGGTCACAACGAACATCACAGCCCAGGAAACACACTTTCTGCAATGGGGGAGCTGGATAAGGCTATATTCTCAGCTGTTTCAAGAGACAAGCAACTGTCCAGTTCAGATATTGAAGGAACACATGAGACAGAAAATCAGAAGGAAGACAGTGTGGTCAAGGTACGGATGAGAAGGGTAAGTGCAATAAATCTTGGTTCTAAGAGCATATCTGTTAAGAACGTAAGTAGTCCATACAGGCAATATAAGTCTAACAAATAACTTTTCCCTAAGAATTCCCTAAGAATTACTTCACCATCACAGTGTGAGGGGTTTTGTAAAATGTTTTAATGTTCCTCAACCCTTGGTTACAAAATAAGGTCCTATAAAGACGTGGAGGCTGGATTAGCAGAGGGAGTATTAAGTTTGTGCAATTTGTGAGATATTTTCTTTTCTTTTTTTGAAGCGAACCCTGCACATTTTTCTGCTTACACTTTAATAGTTGCATGCTCATTGCAATAGTATAATGAAAAGAAATATTGCTTTTTAGACTCTGAATTCCTGGAAAAAAGGAGCGGTCAGAGAATTTCTTAATCAACTGTAATATTGTATTTAAAATAGCAGGAAGATGTAATCTTGGGGTTCAAACTTAGCAATACCTTTAAAAGAGCAAGTTTAAGATTATGAGAGGAACAATTCATATGCAGCATTTTCTGTGTTTCATGTTAAACTCTGACAACTTAGCTGAAAATTCCTTAAACATTATAGACGTAACTTAGTACCTTTAAAAATTATTTGCAATTGACACATAATAGCTAGACGTCACTGTATTTTTTTTTTATCTCACACACAAAGTAGCACAGATAATTGTGAATTGTAAGGAAAATGAAACAGTTTTCAGAGCTTAAGATTAGCATTGTGTGTTTAGGATGCACCTGTGGAAGGTACTGGATTAAGAGTTAAACCAAAGCCCAAATATGAGTCAGTTTAAAAACAGATACAAAACACTGGAGGAGAATATAATATAGTGTAAAATTATCAATGGGGAATTAATTCTAGGGAAGTTGCTTTTGCACATTTTGGTTGTATTGTAAGCAAATATAATATTTCATTTTGGACCTTCAACGCAAATGAATAAGATTGTCAAAGTTACTCATTCTAATTAGATTAATTTGATTTAATGCAATCAATTCAACGGAGGAAAAAAACATTTGAGTTTTACTTCCACATACTGCTTTTTTTCTACATTTCCTTTCTATATTTGTGGAGAAATCTATTTTATTTGATTTAAAATGTTGCTGCAAATTTGAAATATATAAATGAACAAAGAAGGAAGTCTTGGAGTCTCTGCTAAGACTGCTGCCCCACCCTCCTAGATAAAGTGGAAGTTGACGAGTAAAAGTACGAGTAAACCAATAAAAATAGAAATTTCTGTCTAATCACTTGGTATGAATCCTGTGAAGTTCTACTTTATTCATTTTAGTTAATTATACCAGTTCAGTCAGACTAGATAGTTATAGTCTGTAAGCATCTACAAGTTCACAAGGGAATTTATGCATGGACTTTTAGTAGCTCAAACTAATAGTTTAATATGCCTTCATCTAACAGGGATGTCAAACTCAAGTCCTCTAGGGCCAGTACCCGGCCACGTTTAGATATCTCCCTAAGCCAACACCTGAATCAAATAGCAAGATTGCCTCCTTAGTTTAATTCAAAAAAGGACCTAAATATTTGATTTAGGGCTGTTAGAGCAGAGCACAGAACCTAAGACTGGATTCATCTATGATATTTTCTGGACATCCTAGATGGTGAATATCAGTACCCATCTCAAGTCAGTCAGAACCTCCATCAGGTTTCCTTCATGTTTGCACTGTATTTACCTCAGTCAATTTTCTGGACACCCCTGAATATCTTGCTTGTCTCTACAGAATCAAAGCATCCTGCTAATATAATGGCATACCTTTGCTGTCTCTCCAAAATGTATTTTGAAATTGCTGAGCTATAGCTGTACTTTGAGAACATTCTGCATCTTACGGAGTGGATCTTTTCATCTGTTTTTGTTTTCCAAACAAAAACAAGGCTTTGTTGGGCTACTGTATACAACCTCAAACTCAACGCTATTCCTGACATTTTGAATTGAAAAAGCTTCCTGGATGGGGAGCAAAACATCTTCAAACTTGGAAACCTAGTCCAGTGGATTGTTTTTGATTTTTTTGAAAAAGGAAAATAGTTCAAAGTGTTAATAAAAACTTTTATAAGGTACTATAGAAGTGGGAAAAGTAGCCTGTGAAGTACTGTGTATGTCCATGATTTGTACTTTGCAACAATGGGGTATGACTTTCTTAGAAATTTTAAACAATATCTTAAAGGTATAGTGGAGGATGTTCTTTTACTGGGTGGATCATCATAATAGGTGGTCCTCCTAATTGTCAATCATTCCAGTGATATGTTTACGTAAGGCCGTCCTGTGTGCTCGTCCCCATTTTTGCTTAACGGTGATGAGTCTGACATAGTGGAAAAATTGCAAATCTTCTTTTGGAAACTAAGGTTGTATGAGTGATGCAAACAGCAACTTTTAAACAGAGTGTGCACAAGGAGAAATGGGCTTGTGCACGCTGTCACAAGCGTTTAATAGGCGTTCCCTCTCAGGAGGGGGTTGCATATACAAGGGTTGCATATGCATATTTCATTAAAAATGGAGAGGGTGGGTCTTTTCAAAAATTCATGAAAATCTTCCACTAAATCTTTAATGTCTTTATTTCTGATACTATGATTTTTTTTTATTATTATTATTATTTATAAGAATTTTACTGCCTTTTCACCCCTTTAATGTTTTGGTTTAAAAAAAACAACTTAAAAACTGATCAGAGATGTATATTAAAGATTTAAAATGCCAAAGCTAAAATACTTTATTATAATATCCATCCAACATTGTGTAATAACTTTTCTCATCATATCAAGGAAATTTAGTCAGAGGTAATGAAAATATGTAAGCTTAAAAAATAAACATTGGTTTTCCTACAGTTAGTAATGGACAATATCTAGTTTAAGAAGGCAAAATCGAAAGAGTGACAACATTTTTTTCTATGTAAATATTTCTTAAAGGCTGCAAGAAGCTGGAAGGATCTCCTGTGCTCACGGATGATGTAGTCCTCAGTCCACCATCTGGGTGTTGCAGGTTCAGCTTATAAAATAAAGCCATCTGGTTTTCAAAATGGCTTGAGATTAAACTGATATTGGCTTTTGTTTCTGTGTTTATTTGTTTTAGCAACAAGGCTTATCCTAGCCCTCAGGGCCAAAATGGCTCAACTGTCATTTATCTCAGACCAGATGACTTGGCAAACATCCCCCTGAGTGCTCTCTGTTACTTAGCCTTGCTGTTTACATTATAAAAAATGGGAGAAAGGAGAAATGTACAGAATCTGAAAGAAGGGGCGGGACAAAATCTTCTGATAACATCCAAACGCTGCTTTAGATACATCTGAATTTCTCCTGTTCACTTTTCCCTTGCACTGCATTTTGGTGGTTGTTATTGCCATCCTGGGACGGATACTTTTGTTCATTCACACAGGCCTCGTAAAGATGTCATTGTTTTACTGTGGTACAATGTTTCATTGTGATACTTTGCCAAGGACACTGAGTGTAGTAATGTGAAATCCCTTTAGCTAGGAATGCTGCTGAATGCATCAGTGTGGTGCCATTATGTGACCTGATTATTTGCACCCTTTGGAAACCCACTAAAAACATGTTTTTTTTAATTGGGCACCAACAGCAAAATAAATTCATGTGATGTGTTCAGAAGGGTCGAGGAAAAGCGCAAAGCTACAGCCAGGAACAATCAGCCCCACACATTAACATTGCCCGCATTTCATAGCCAGTTAATGTTGTCATCCATACACACCCAGTTTTAACACTGATCTCAGAAGACTGAGCCAAAGTTACCACTACAGGGGATGTTTTCATTTTCAACGGATGTTTCAATTAAATGAATAAAAACCTTACTTTATCCCAAATAACACAATTAGTTTTGCAGGAAACGGTCACAACATAAGAAGCAGACCTACTGCTGCAAGTTTAATGCACATATAATCAAAAGCTGTGTTTGTGTCATAAATTGTGCCTTGTTAAATATTTACAGGGGTCTGTCATGCCGATTAGGCCAGCTATTAAATTTGTTAAGGGTAGTTTGAGATCTCCAGACTCAATTGTACGCCCAGAAATATAATAAGAGATGAGTAGAAAATATATTTGAAAAACTACAGGAGGAGAATTTTTCAAGTGTGCAGTGTTTATTGCTTTTAAAATTCCATAAGAATGGTATTAAGTAGATAGTAGGGCTGTTCAGCTTGTCTTACTGAAGTGAAACCACCTGAGGTCAGTGTGACTCTTGTTATACAAGGATTAATTAGGCGAGGAATGCAGATATGTTGAATATCAGAAATGCTTTAAGGACTGTTGCAGATCGTTGAGAGATTTTTATCTAGGTATGCAAAATACCTTAAATATTTTTCTAACAGATTGGTTTCTTTATTTAGCGTGAACATGCTCGTTTGGATTCCATGGTGCTGTTGCTAATGAAGCTGGATCAGCTGGACCAGGAAATTGAGAATGCCCTCAGCACCACCTCCTCCATGACCAGTTCCCCTACTCCTAATCGCCGTCATCACCTGGTGCGTCAATTTACTCAACTTAGTTCTTACTATTTCTTCTTAAAACGTATTTAGTTAATTAGGGGAGAACACAGACACAGAAGTTTACAATGTATGTAATATCGTTCCAGAGATTGGTTTATGAATTTATTGTTGAGACCCTATAAATGCATTCTTTCTAAGACAGTATATATATATATATATATATATATATATATATATATATATATATATATATATATATATATATATATATATATATATATATATATATTAATTTATTTATTTATTTAGACATAGTTTTAAAATTGCACAGTTATGAGCAAATATTTAATTTATACCAGATAGCTGACATGTTTAGTACTCACTGTAGTACCCAAATGTAAGTGGGCATCCAAAATGTATAAATTCTTTAGAAAGAAGAATTTGCTTTAGTTATACATTGAGTTAAAGTTTGTTGGAAGAAACAGACACCCTTGTGCATATAAATGCTCTTACTGCAACAGCATAATCTTTAATTACAAAAAAAAACACTAGTGCACAACTGGTGAAAAAACTATCCTTAAGAACAAATATATCTAAAACCATACAGTTGAACAGAGCTGATATTCCACATTAATAACCCGTGACTTCATCCATACACTAATATGACCATACAAATAGGGTTGTTTCTTTTAGTATCTGGTCACACAACTGCAATATTAAAAATTTTCAAAAATAATAGAATTATCAAACAGAATATACAAAACCCTGCAGTTTGTGAAACTCTAGGAGGACTATAGTCGGAGCCTTGTGTTTTGGTCATATAGTAAAATTGAGCTTCTTTAAACCCTAGTGTTTGACATTACCGTAGACATGGGATCTTCAATAATATTTTGTCTCTATCAGTCCCACAAGCTTTATGAGATTGTATGGCATAATACACTCTTAAAATACCATAAGATCTAAAAAAAACACTCTGATTGGCACAACTAGGAGACAGACAAAACTGAACTGCTAAATCAGCATAGGCATTGTTTACGAATGCAAAATCAGCTTTCTTACCATCTCACTACTTAACTAAATTCTCTAAAAAAATTAGGGAGAGAGCTGAAGACACAGGGTATAGAAGAGATACCATTACTACAGATTATCTAGGCAGATTGTGAGGATTAGCCAACAATCCTTTTAATGTGGAAAATGGCGAAAGACAAAATTCTGTCCTTTATCTAAAATGCAGATATTAAAGATTTTGACAGGAGGGGCCGCCAGTAAGTATGCAAAATGCAATTACTTCTAAACATGGAATTTTTAACTACTAAATAACTTTGAGGATTAGGATGTTTGATTTTTTTCTGTGTGACATTATGCTACAATAAAATGAAGGACCTCATCAGAGAGGTGGTCATTGATATAGCCAGCAATTTATGCCTCAAATAAGAAGCAAAAAATTAAGCTCTCTTTTCAATATCATATTCCAAGCATAAGTTTGTGTTTCATTTGTTTGCAGGTGACCAATAAAGAGCAAACACCGGCAGCATTGCTGACACTCCCACTTCCAAATGAGACCACTGCCTTCTCATCAAGATCTGCAAAAATCTGCAAACCTAAAAGTGGCGTAAGTCATGGGGTCAGCATCTTTGCAGAGCCTGTTATACAAATTTGGTGACATGTTTTTTTGTGCATTATTAAATTATGTAATTCACATTCACAAAAGCATTAAATAAGTTGGTAAACAGTTACAGTTTGATTCTTTTGCACATTTTTTTTTTTTTTCATGTGCCTAGCCATGGTCATTCTTGGCTTGTAGAGCGGGCTTTACTTCACTTTACAGTATCAGTAAGATTATCAGAATAATTGTTTTACAAGATGTTTGTTAGTAATAGCTTACTGACTTTGCTCCTACAGCCTCAGAATCGTGTTTATATTAAGATTTAGTTTTATACTTTTTCAAACATAAAGGCAGCTTAATCTGCACACAATGTGTTTTTGATGACTAGACAGTAAAGAAATTATATTCCCTTCTATAACAAGAATGTAAAACATTGTTTGAAAAATTAAAGTTCAAAGAACACCCAAATTAAGACATTTAATGTAATCAAGTGCTACTAAAAACATGGCTGGAGGATATTTACTGAGCTAATTTTCAATGTCCTTATTGTCCATATTTACCATATTCATGTCCTATATCAATATGGTAAATATATACTAAAAAACAGGATTAGAAGGAAGCAAAGAGATGACTCACAAGTTTTCTGTTTAGATACAAGTTAATGGATAGTTTTGCAAGGTGGTGTTTAAAAAGGATCTATTTATTGGGATAAACTGGTTATTTATTGTGGCATTTAGTGTGTTATATATATCAAGTGAAAAAAAAGAAAGAGCAAGACAGTTGAAAGGAGAAAGATATTGACTTGGTAAGCTATTTGACTTAGTTATGAAGATCTATGATTGATCTAGAGATTTGTAAAGACGCTCCTCCTTGACAGTGTCTACATTCTTAGAATATTTGTTAACATAGAGGATACCACACGTCTTGCTCATGTCATTTATCACCCTTGATAACGTGATAGTCAGTAAATTGTTTGAATAGTATATATCATAATTACTGTTATAGAAACATTTCCTCAAGGGACACATGTTCCAACAGTTCTCACTAAGCCCTATAGGTAGCTGTTTTCGCACTCGGCTGGTGTTCACCAATCAGGAAGCTAGTAATCTGATTTGCAATACTGCGGTGAATTGAAATTATATCTGTCCAAAAGCATTGCAAATTGGAAGTCTTTTTAACAGTGCATATTATGTATTCTGATAAAACTTAGATGGAAAATTCATTTACATATTTTGTATGTTTTCTGGAAAATCTAACTTGAGGGTAGCTATTTGGTTTGAATACTATTGTAATATTTCTGCATACAGCATTAACTTATAAAACATTGTATTTTGCTATTTATCTTTCTGAGATATTATGCATTATAGATTATTTAAAAAAACAAATGCACTAATCTAACTGGTAAAATAGTAGCTAAGGAATCAGCCATTAAGAGCACATTATGCACCAAAACTGTTTCCCTTTTTTTTTCTTAAAGCTTAAATCTTCTAACACAAAACATGTTAAACCCTGCAGCAGATGAGCTACAGGAGCAGACCACCCTTTGTCCCATTCCTGTCAAATAAGGGTGAATTCTCCCTGCCGGTTCAGTCAAGGGATTAGTGAGAAAATACCAACCCGGAGTCCTTTTACATTTTCTTAGGCCTAGCAAAATAATGTTACAACAGTCACAGTCGACAATTTACAGTTACAACATTTATTTTAGGGACAGTACTGCTTAAATATTCCACTGATCAAGAGTAAGAAAAGCACAAAGGATAAAGTCTGTCTCAATGTTGCTACTTTGGGTTAAAATGTAGTTTTGTGCATGCAACCCTTATTTACCTCATGCAGCTTTTCAAACTATTTCATCTTCTGATTCAAGCTCTATCCTTCTTTCACATGATATCTTCCTGCTTTTGGTAAATATTCACACAAAGTTAAATATCCCTTGGCTTTAGATAAACTATGCAAAGATGGACAGTTGCCACTCTGCCAAGTGAAAATGCATTTTTATGATCCACTGTAGAAACCAGTTATGTTTTTAACAATGCTCGCAAGGTTTGATGGGAAAGCACCATACGAACAAGAAACTGAGGCTGTGGATGAGCCAGGGACCCTCATGTGTAGTGGTTCGACTCCTAGCTCTAAAGATGCCTTAGGCTACTGGTGGGGCCAAGGTCCTCAAGGCATTAAATGCTTTTTTGGTCCCCTTCACTTTTTTTCTGTCCAAAAACAATGTTGTGCTACATTACACCAACACACATTGAGCACTAGCACCTAACGGAAAACCAGAGCACAAGCTGAAGACCACTTCCCTGATTTAAGACTGCCTACAAGCTCCTGATTGACCCTCTTTTCTTGTATGATGGGCTGTCACTGCTGTCACTCCTGAGAAACTCACTCAAAAAAAAATCTGATGCGCCACTGAATCGGGTCTGTTATTGGATGGTCACAGTGTTGCTGAAGCCCAATGGGAAACTGTAATTACAACTGTAGGGTCACAAGCCTTTTTCTCTGCTTTCTGGTATGTTTTGGATTTTTGAGATCTTAAAATGTCTAGGAGTTACAGTCTTAGAGAAAAACATTGGTCTGCAAAATATGACAGTTGGTGAGGGAGTCTGCTACTGTAAATTAGGCATTTTTTCTTCTCATTGGGTCACGTATTCTAGAAGTTGTAATATCAGATGTATAGTATTCATTTACACAAATCTTTAAATTGGTATAATGTACGCACATATGATAAACACCACCAATAAACACCACAGTGAGTAATGCTTCCTAGCAACTTCAGCATATACCCATGTCTCATTCATTGCAGGGTTTGGGGAGGTTTAAAGGTAAAACTATATTTTGTATTTAGACTTGTTTCAAATTACCACATTTGGAAGCACCTGCTTTTCTACATGACCTAGAGTGGCACGTGTATTAATGTGAGTATTTCTTGGTGAAAAATTAGGAGGCATAAATCCTGTAAATCTGAGGAGGGTGCCAAACAGATGGCTTTTATATATAAAAGCAACATTGTCATAATAATTCCCAGGATATGTAGACAGCAATATCAGACATTGATGAATGCAAATTATTAGCTAAATAATACTGGACTTAAACTGAATGTGTTGCGACTGCAGTGGGGCACCGCATGGAACCCAGATCATTGAAATTCATTTGTACACTCGCATCAGCCATGGCACAGTGTGGTTATGGTTACTGAAGCTGTACAAATCAAGTGTTTCAGCTAGACTTTCAGAACAAAATCAACCCAAGCTAGCTTTACTAGCGAGACAAAAGAGGGAAAACAGAAACAGAGGTTCTATTGAACAATGAACGGTACTGTATGTTTTTGTGCACCAATAAGAAGTTTTACCTGACAACTATTGGAAAGAGACTGAATCCATTTCAACTTTTACTAATTTTTTTAAGCACCATTTCCACAGCTGTAACCACAGCAGAGAAAATCTGGTTGCAGAGTCCATTGTGAGTGACTTTCGGTAGCACTTCCATACCATGTTTAGTGTGAGCTTGGCGTAAAGGCAATTTTGGAGTGGATTGTTCTTTAAGGACCGCTTCAACTTTTACATTCTTAACATAAAACCATTATATGTTGCATAAGCAGGTCACATTATTGTTGCTGGTGTACTGATTAGAGAAATAATTTCTTAGATTACTTTATCCCTTAGTACCAACAGAGCACTATTTAAACAGGAAAGTCTCCCTCAATAATTTGCCCCACTACTCAGTAGACGTTGCAACCCTCTTCTAATGGCTGCTTCCAGCAGAATAATTCCAGCAGTATAATGAACCATGTCACTGTTTTTTTTCTCAGACTGGCGTCTTGATCGCAACAAAGTTCAATCTGTGCCAAAAGTCTTCATATTTAATTGGAATAAGGCATTTATGGATTATTATGTAAAAGGAGATTTACATGATACCAATAAAATCGCAGTAACTATCATGTCGGCATGGTCCAAAGTCTCTAAAGAAATGCTTCAACCACCTCGTTGAAAGGAAACAGCTCTAAAGGCATTAAGAGGTCCAACCCCTTAAGTTAGTCTCTCAGCTGTAGGAAAGACTCTTTACTCTTATGAGCTAACCAAGCAGAAGCTAAGAATCTATAATTAGCTGCTTGCAAAGATCTACCGCCTTTCACTCCTACAAAGGGGTCAGAAGGGGGAGTCGGGAAGGTGAAAAGCCCTTGCGGGGGGAACAATGGGGACACGCTTCAAGTGAGACACGTCTTTATGCTCCTTTGCTTGCTCATTTTATGATTAGTCAACACTCTGGTTCAAAAAGTAGTCCTAAAGTCTGCGAACATGGACTTTACCGGTCTGTATCTCACCATAGGAGAACAAGGAGAAGAACCATAAAAGTGAAAAAGGATGTTTCTGCCGCCAAGCAGTCCCCTTGTTAAATAGAGAAAGAAAGGCAATGTTTTGTTGACCAGAAATATACTGACTTAAATGACATTCCTCAACTGTCTTTGCATTATCATTTTGACTGTGACGTCTCTTCCTGGATCTTATTACTTTTTAGATGGAAGATAAGTGCATGATGTACAGCACATTTAACTGCAGCAAGCTACTTATGACTACATTTATTCAAGGAAACTCACTAAACTTTGGTAAAAACTATTTTCATTGTGCTTAATAGGAAGCTCTGGGGTGATTGATTAAAGCCAAACGTTGATGACTTTGTAAAAGGGTTTTGAGGTAGTAATTAGTTTCAAAGAGCTGTTGAGCCCAGAAAACCAGTGACGCACACTTAATCTATTCAGCTAGACAAAACAAATCTTCTAAATGATGTAAACACGAGACATACGTGAGTCGAGGAAAAGCACAAGTTGAGGTTAGAACCTTATTTCAGTCGCCTGACTGTTAAGGTTTACAAGATGATATGCTGAAGTTAAAAAGACATCATCTATAATTAGTTGAAATATTCAGAGGCAGGAGGATCTCTATGAAGAAAAACACTGCTTTGTTCAGAGTAAAGTGAAAGTCATAAACCTGGCAATTAGGATGTCACATTTTCCTCAAGGTTTGCTGGGTTGACTGTCTAACCTTTGTTTTCTTTCACCGTGAGAGTTATCTCATGTTATGGTGCTAAATAAACTGACCCTGTACACGTTCATTATTCTTTCAAATAAATTGGT